CCCCCCAAAGATTTCAAGGGTGGGAAGGTCTCTCAAGTTTAATCACACTAATTCTGGGTTTCAGCAGCTAGGATAAAGGAGGAGCAAGAGTTGACAATTCAGAAGATACTTCAGTCTGATTCTGTGCCTGAGGAATGAAAGGGAACAGATCTCTTGCAAATTCCGCCCTCTCTCTTCTTTTTGACGGAAAGAAAGATTAAGAAAGGAACTACCCTTGGCAGATTCCTTCCATATTTTATTTTATTTTTCATTTTTCATTGGGAAAGGGCTTAAATAGTACTGTGTAAAAGGTAAAGGTTCCCACGCACATGCGTGCTAGTCGTTCCCGACTCTAGGGGGTGGTGCTCATCTCTGTTACAAAGCCGAAGAGCCAGCGTTGTCCGAAGACATCTCCGTGGTCACGTGGCTGGCATGACTAAACGCCGAAGGCGCACGGAACGCTGTTACCTTCCCACCAAAAGTGGCCCCTATTTTTCTACTTGCATTTTTTACGTGCTTTCGAACTGCTAGGTTGGCAGAAGCTGGGACAAGTCACAGGAGCTCACCCCGTTACGCGGCACTAGGCATTCGAACCGCTGAACTGCCGACCTTTCGTTCGACAAGCTCAGCGTCTTAGCCACTGAGCCACCACATCCCCTTTCTTTGTAAAGAACCTCAAAAAGAAGCTGACTGTGTTTCCTGATAGAACAATTAATCAGTGGAATGACTTGCCTCCAAAAGTTGTGGATGCGCCAACACTGCAGGCGGCGCAGTTCAAGATTGTCCGAGCCCAAAATTTCAATCCTGGTGGCATAAGGTATTTTGTTGTGAGCAGAGGAGTGGAGGACTCTTCTCGTGAAATACCTCTGGACTCGCTCAATTGTATTAATATCCGATATACAGTGTGGATTCCAGGCAGACGAGCTGTATTCGAGAATTGGTCTAGCAAAGGTTTTGTATGCCCTAGTTAACAATTCAATGTTATTGGAGACGAAGCTTTGCAAAATTAGGTTAACAACTCTTAATTCCTTTTTGGCAATGCTGTTACAGTGAGCTCTGGGGTTTAGATCGTTTGAGATGACTTACTCCTAGGTCCTTGACAGAGTGAGGGTCGTCTACAAGGTCGTATCCGCCCAGCTTGTATTTAGTGTTCTGATTTTTGTTGCCAATGTGTAAGACAGAGCATTTGTTGGTTGAGATTTGAAGTTGCCAATTGTTCGACCATTCTGACAATATATAAAATATAAATATATATATAAAATATAAAAGGCAGCTGAGCCTGCGTCAGGAATATGAGTGGGGAGAGATACTCAGGTGAGACACCCTCCCTAGTTTTGAGGTTGTAAAGGGGGAATGGTGGGTGGTGGAGAGAAGGACTTTCACACTTACAAGATTCTGTTAATGTGACCTTAAGTTCATTTGGTAATGTTTCCTGCCTAGTCTACCTCATGAGGCTGACATCATTGAGAGAAAATGGGCCTACCATCACAACACTGCCAGAAATGTTCTCTGGAGAAAATCCTTGCCTCAGAATAATCATGTTGTGACTTCCAAACTTACCGCTTGTATTAAATTGTAGCCAGCTTTGCCTTGCTAGGAACTAGGTAAGAGATGCTCCGCTTGTAGCCAGACACTTCTAGAAGCCGGAAGGACCCTCACAAAGTTCTTCCTGAATTGCAATTCTGCACAAAAATAACAATTGTAATTCTGTCTATATCAATGTTTCTCAACCTTGGTAGCTTGAAGATGGGTGGACTTCAACTCCAGAAGCTCCCTTAAGTGAAGAGGACGAAGAGGAGGAGCCTCTTCTTGATGCACAGGCGTGCAGAGCTGTCAAAAGGCAGGAGTGGCTCCTCAGGAGGAGGTCTCCTTGAGAGTAAGGCTTGGGGCTAATTGGCCACTCCCTTAGCCTATTTAAGGAGGAACGCCGACTGAAGCAATTTATAGGGAACAACTTTAGTTCACTCCTTCGTGTCTGGATTCTCTGCTAATTGCTTCTGGGCTTTCTGCCAACCATAATAAGATTGTGATTATTTTGGATTCTTGTAGGCTGTTAAGAAAGTTTATTAACAGCCTTTGTTTGAAAAAGACTGAGTTATTTTAGTAAATTAAGTTTTGTACAGACTTTGTGTGTGCTGCGTTCTTTGGGTTCCGTAGCTGGGGCAGAACAACTACCTGTAGTTGAGAAAGTGAACTGCCCCCCCCCAGCCAACCAACCACTTCTGTCAATGATTTGGAACAAGGATGATAACTTGGGTAGGAATTGCTGAGCTCAAGATGTGAATCCCAGCCAATTTATGGTAGTTTCACTCCATTCCCTCTCAAAGTGGTCTCTAGAGTCAATGATTTCAGCATAGCATGAGATAACATGACCTCCCGGTGTGATGCTTTCCCCTCCGCCCCGTGTTATTTCTGATTTCCAAACAACTCTAAACATTTAGCCTTCTGAAAACGAATGTCGCAACAACGGTGCTTTTCCAAGAAGCAACTGGACTTCCTTGTTTTTCTTGGAAGTCTTTTCATTCCTCATCCAGATGGCTTCTTCAGCTCTGAAACTGAAGAAACGTCTTCAAGAAAAACCAGAAAGTCCAGTTGCCTCTTGAAAAAAAGCACCTTTGGGACAACCAAGACTGAGTGAGAATCTCCGTAGACATTCTGAAAATGAATATTCCTCAAAACTCAATCTTCTAGTCCCCGTGCCTGCCAAAATTTGATAAGCCCATCGAAAGGGCATTTGGAAGAAACTGAGGTTACTTCTCTTGGGGGGCTTTATTGATTATGGTAAGTAGGAAACATCTGCTGATAGCTAAGGAACAGAAGATGTCTCAACTAGATGTCTTCAACTGCTAAGGAACAGAAGATGTCTCAACTAGACAGGAATGCTAGTGGGTTCCTTATTTACAGAGTGATGTTTCTCCCTCAAGAGAAGATGAGATGTTAATACTGTCCTTGAACTATTCCAGGGCAAGTGGATAGGGTAGGTCTGCAGGATCTACTTTCCATCCTGTGGAAGCACTTTTTTTTTTTTTTAAAGCAAAAATTAAACCAGCTCATTCTGTCCCTCCACTGGCATATTGAAATGGCGTGGTCAAGGATTCACTCAACGGATGGTTAGCTTTGTAGAAGAAATTCCAAGCATGGCCACAATAAAGGAAAATATTTATAGCTCAGGGTTGACGTGAGGGGTCCTTGGTGCTCTCTGAGCTCAGTTGTTTTCTTGCAGATGTTTCATTACCCAAGTTAGATGTCTATGGAGATTCTCAATCATCCAGATCATGGTTCTCCCAAAGGTGCTTTTTTCAAGAGGCAACTGGACTTTCTGGTTTTTCTTCGAAGACGTTTTGCTTCTCATCCAAGAAGCCTCTTCAGCTCTGATACTCTGATGATGATATTACCCTGGTCGGGGATACCCAAACTAGGTAATATCATCTTCATGCTAGCACTGATGATGTTACCTAGTTTGGGTCATTAAACGTCTTCAAGAAAACAAGCCAGCTCAAGAGAGCACCAAGGACTCCTCAGAGCATGGTCATTTTATTTTTATTTATTTATTTTATATCAAATTTATATACCGCCCTTCTCCCTGAGGACTCAGGGCGGTGTACAGCCAAATAAAAACATAGACTACAAACATTAAAATACTATGAAAAAGATATATATAAATTGGGCCCCGTAATTAAAAAACAATGACAAACCAATTAAAAATATTTAGAAATATATTAAGCCAGCCCGGCTTGCTGGAAAAAGAAGGTTTTAAGGGCACGGCGGAAGGCATGGAGGTCTTGGATTCTCCTTATCTCTGGGGGCAGCTGATTCCAGAGGGTGGGAGCCCCCACAGAGAAGGCCCTCCCCCTGGGGGTCACCAGCCTACATTCTTTGGCTGATGGCACCCCGAGGAGGCCCTCTCTGTGGGAGCGCACAGGTCGATGGGAGGTCGTCGGTAGCAGCAGGCGGTCTTGCAGATAGCTAGGCCCTATGCCATGGAGCGCTTTAAAGGTGATAACCAACACCTTGAAGCGCACCCAGAAGACCACCAGGAGCCAGTGCAGCTCACGCAGGAGAGGTGTTGTATGGGAGCGCCATGTGGCTCCCGTGACTACCCGCGCGGCCGCATTCTGGACCAGTTGGAGCCTCCGGGTGCTCTTCAAGGGGAGCCCCATGTAGAGAGCGTTGCAGTAGTCCAGGCGAGAGGTGACGAGGGCATGAGTGACTGCACAGGGAATCCCGATCAAGAAAGGGCCGCAACTGGCGGATCAGGCGAACCTGACCAAAAGTCCCCCTGGCCACAGCCGTCAGATGTTCCTCCAAGGACAGCTGCGTATCCAGGAGGACTCCCAGATTGCGAGCCCTCTCCGAGGGGGCCAAAGACTCGCCCCCGATAGTCAGTGATGGAGTCAACTGACTATATCGGGATGCCGGGAACCACAGCCACTCAGTCTTGGAAGGGTTGAGCTTGAGCCTGTGTCTCCCCATTACGTCAACAAGCAATGTTCTACTGATGGCCTAATAAAGGAGTCCTACAGAACAACAGATCATGCAGTGAAGGAGGAAAGAGAGGTTTCGTTCCCCTATCATAGCTTTTAACCCTTGCCTCCTCTTTGTCCTTCCTTGCTCCGTAGGCCGGATGGCAGCCTGCTTACCTGTTGTGCCTGACGTTCTCACAAAGCCGTCTCCTGCTGGGTTGCCCATCCTGATTTGCCATTTGTTTTTGGCTCATCTTGCTCGTTTCAGCCCTCTTTGTTCTTGGTTTCCTAATAACACATTTTTTAATATATATATACATATACATTGCATAAAAAAATAGCTGTGTATTCATTGATAGTGCTGGATCGGTCATTGAAATGAAAAGCTTTGTTGCAGATTCTCGCTTGCCTCGCTCTTGCAGAGACCCGCATGGCAGCTGAAGCTCTCTCCAACGTTTGCATGCTGCCAGAGGAATGCATCTGCAATAAAGCATTCACCACCTTGCTTCCCCCTCTCTCTCTCCCTCTCTTTTTGTTTTTCTCCCCTAACATTTCCAGTTCTCCCCCAAACAAGCCTTGAAGTGGAGTCTTACTCGGCTCACCCTGGCGACCTCCTCCAGTTGCGCTGCCGCCTCCGGGACGATGTTCAGAGCATCAACTGGGTACGAGACGGGGTGCAGCTATCCGAGAACAACCGGACGCGCATCACAGGGGAGGAGGTAGAGGTCAGGGACGCTGTGCCCGAGGACTCGGGCCTTTACGCCTGCATGACCAACAGCCCCTCAGGAAGCGAGACCACCTATTTCTCCGTGAACGTCTCAGGTTTGTAGCAGGCTACCCACCCAGGATGAATGAGAGCTGCTGGGAAAGACACTTTTGAATTGTCGTTGTCAGCCTTACCGTTTTTTTTTTCAACCTTAACTGCCAGTTGCAGAAGATGGGGGACCAGGATTCAGCCTATACCGGGGTATCAAATTCAAGGCCTCAGGGCTGGATTTGGTTCGCGGGGTCCTTAGATCTGGCCCGCGGGGCTGCCCTAGAAACAACAAAGGACTGGCCCGTGGTGCTTCTGCCAATGAAAACGGAGCTCAGAAGGGCTTCGCGCGGCCCTCCCAGGCTCCGTTTTCAGCCGCGACAGCCTCCTGCCACTCTGTGCCAGTGAAAATGGAGCTCAGGGTGGCACATGCACCCTTAGCTCCATTTTCACTGGCAAGAGGGCGGCAGGAGGCCGTCACAGCTGAAAACAGAGCTCAGGAGCCCATTTTTGTTGGCAGAGCGCTTGGGCCACCACGGATGCCCCTGACGTGAGTGATGTCAAGATGGCCACGCCCACCTCAGCCCCCGAGGTCAAACACAACCCTGATGCGTCCCTCAATGAAATAGAATTTGACACCCCTGGTCTATATAGTGTGATGCACAAGGGGACACCACTAGAAAATTCTCTCCAACTGTTCGGTTAAAAAAATTAAAAAGCATTGTCCACATGTTTAAAAAGATTCCTCATATGCTCAGCCCTAGGGCAAAAATGGATCAGGGTTCGAAGTGAGCTCTGGTGGTATGGGTAAGGTGGTACTCCTTCGTGTTTTTTTATTGTTGGGAGAAAATAAATGCTGTTTTGCTTTATTTGGAGCAAGCTATCACGTAACTTTTGTTTCTGAACTGTTATTTTTAATTTTAATTGGCCAGGGGGTTAAATTTTATCTTTGGAATTGTATGCCAATTTGATGAAGGTAAGAGGCCATGCCATGGACAATTTTGGTGGGCCTCCTTCCGTTTCATGGGCCCGCTGAACTTCATTTGGCTACCCATAGATAGAACCAAAAAAAAAAATTGAGGTTGCATTTGATTTGATTTTCCCAGTTTGAAAGTCCTATAGAAACTGACAAATTCATTTTGGTTAGAGATGATACGATGTGATGGATGGAGTGGTGGGATTCAGCCGGTTCGGGCCAGTTTGGGCAAACCAGTTGTTAAATTGCTGACTGGCCCCACCCCTTCCCGCCCTGCCCCTTCCAGGAGTCCCACGTGCCCCGTTTTAGCTCCCAGGTAAGTACAGGGAGGCCTACTAGGCCCAAAATGAGGTGCGCCCACCCCGCAGCCCATTTCTGCTCCCAGGGTATGTGTGGAGGAGGCCGAGTGCTGCCTGTCACAGTCCCCGGCCATGCCCACCATGGCCACGCCCACCCAGCCGGTCATTAGGGCAGAGAACCGGTTGTTAAATTATTTGAATCCCACCACTGGATGGATGGATGGATGGATGGATGGATGGATGGATGGATGGATGGACTGACTGAAGAAACAGTTGATTTTCATTCAAAAGACAACAAGATTCTGAAAAACCTAAATGGCTAAAATTTCCAGTAGCTGAAATTGGAAGCATTAGCACCTGGAAAGCTTTTCTGATGTCTCCCCATCAACAGTTCCTAATCTGCTAAATTGGCCTAATTGCCAAACTTCACGATCCACCTCTACCTTAATGGACAACTGGGAAGACCTACTTCTTGGCCGCTCTGGTTGTGATTCTGAGGTTCTATCAAGTCAACCATTTATGAATGGGCAAAAGGCTTTCCAGGGAGTTTGCTACTTCTGATAATTCAGATAAGAAGAAGGACGTAGGAGGCCTCCTGGGGTTTTAGTTGTCTTTTCTCCCATGGAGAAGCTTTTCATTGTGTGTTTGTAGCTCCCTCTGCACTCTGAAGTGCTTTGGTCCGGGCGCAGCCCTATCTGGTGATGAGCTGTTGATGGAAGAACTAACTCATGCTAAGTGACAGGCAGGGTATTCCTTACAGGCTTGCCAAATGGTTGACTTAACGACAAACCATCCACGCATTTTGTCCTGCTTTCGGAGACAGCCAACATGATTGCTTGTCACCAGCTCTGCCTCTCTCAGGAGAAAATCTAGGGATAGTAATAGTGACATCTGAAACATATCTCCAGGGTATCTCCAACATTTGTCTGAGGACAAGAACTCTTCCTTGCTTCGCTGAATCTGAAGAAAGCTTATATGTCAATAAGATCCCAGATGTTCAGCACGGGATGAGCAAGATTGCCTCCTCTTTTGTAGGCTGGACTTTATCACTGTAGGAAACACGTTTGCCAGTGGCAAATGTTTGTGTGAACTGTTCTGATCAAAACAATCAATATTAGCTTCCTATTGACTTTGTCTACCCTTCCGTTCCCACCTCTTGTTACGCCGTGCAATAATAGCAATAGCACTTATATACGGCTTTACAGTGCTTTACCGCTCTCTAAGCGGTTTACAGAGTCAGCCTACTGCCCCCAACAATCTGGGTCCTCATTTTACTGACCTCGGAAGGATGGAAGGCTGAGCCAACTTTGAGCCTGTGAGAATCGAACCGCTGGCAGTGGGCAGAATTAGCCTGCAATACTGCATTCTAACCACTGGGCCACCACGGCTCATAACATCTGATTCCTCATAATATCACATTATGAAGGATCAGTATTTCCAATACTCAGAACCAAATTTCCTACAAATGTGTTTACCTTAAGTGAGGACTACCTCACGTAACAACCACAACTGAGGCTGCATTTTCCCTCATAAATTATGGTGGTCATTATACGGATCACTACAGTTAATTTTACAACGGGTAAAGCATGGTTGTTAGATCACATGGTCGTTGAGTGACTCCGTTCTCCCGAATGGACATTTTTGGCCAGAAACCAGCAAAGGAAGGGGACAAATTATAATCATTTAACCTCAGGATGCTGAAACCGGTTTTAAATATAGGCCAGTTGCCAATTGCCCAAAATGTTGTCTCTCTGTGTGTGTGTGTGTGTGTGTGTATGTGTGTGTGTGTGTGTGTGTGTGTGTTTGACTTTGAGGACAGGTCATAAGTAACTTTTGGGAGGTAGTTGTAACTTTGAACGGTCGTTAAACGAGACTGTCTATAATAAGGCAGTAAAAAGAAAAAGAAGAAGACAATTCTGTCCTTTTTTTTAATTCAGTGTTTCTCAATCTTACGGACTTGAAGAACTATGGACTTCAACTCCCAGAATTCCGTGGACTTCAACTCTCAGAATTCTGGGAGTCCACCTATATCAGTGTTTCTCAACCTTGGAAGCTTGAAGATGGGTGGACTTCAACTCCCAGAATCCCCCACCCATCTTCAAGCTTCCAAGGTTGAGAAACACTGAGCTATATTAAAGTTCCCGAGGTTGAGAAACACTGTCTTATCTCAATGGGAAAAGCTCATTTTTCTCAACTCATATTTACCATTTCTATCCTCCTTAGATGCTCTCCCCTCTGCAGAAGATGACGATGACGATGATGACTCTTCCTCGGAAGAAAAGGAAGCAGACAATTCCAAACCGAACCGTAAGCATCTCTTTTCCTACCTTGTTCAAAAGCAGCCAAGACATCTTGCAAAACCCCAGTGGGAGATTTTTTTTTTTCCCCAAGCAATCCGAATTTTGTGTAGAACATTCTTTTCTTTTTGCAGGGACTTAAAACTAGAGGCGTCTAACCCCCATGGACAGGGTGGACTTGATTTAAATCGAGTTGATTTAAATTGTGATTTAAATCACTAGTAAAAAGACTTGGTTTAAATCCACTCGATTTAAATCATAATTTTTAAAAAGCAACTGTCATCTCTGTCCCGCAGCGGCTCCTCCTCTGGTCCGCTGTTATTGTTATTGTTATTTTATTATTCATATTTCTATGCCGCCCACTCTCCGAGGACTCTGGGCGGCTTACACCAAAGACAGTATACTAAATAGCATATTGTCCCCTAACAATCTGGGTCCTCATTTTACCCACCTCGGAAGGATGGAAGGCTGAGTCAACCTTGAGCCGGTGAGATTTGATCCGCTGAGATTTTGTGCCTCTCTCTCTCTAAGCCCAACCCACCTCACAGGGTTGTTGTTTTTTATTTATTTTATTTATTTTTATTTAGACTTCTATACCGCTTCATAGTGCTTTCCAGCCCTTTCTAAGCGGTTTACAAAGTTAGCATATTGCATATTAGCATATTGCATTAGCATATTGCCCCCCAACAATCTGGGTCCTCATTTTACCCACCTCGGAAGGATGGAAGGCTGAGTCAACCTTGAGCCGGTGAGATTTGATCCGCTGATCTGCTGAACTAGCAGTCAGCTGAAGTAGCCGCAGTACAGCACTCTAACCACTGCGCCACCTCAGCTCTGTTGACACACCGACAGTCCCGTTTACTTTAATGGGACGGCTGGTGATGCAGCAGTGACACAACAAGGTGAGGGACATAGCGGGCAGCAGGTAAGTGGATGCCCGCTAACAGGCGCTGCCAGGATGGCTCTAAAATGACAGGTGCTCTTTAAATGTAAAGACTCATCCTTTCTGGTCGTTAGACTCTTTAATATTATTATTTGCAAACAAAACGAAAGTTTCCTGTTTAGCTTGAACATCTTGGATTCGTGGAATGAGTTTATCCAAAATGTAAGCACTGCAGAATATACAGCCTCATGCTACATAACGGAGCTCCATTTCATGCTGAATAAACTAAATTATTAATGTATCTTAAATAGAAAACTAACGTGTTTTGAGTAGTTCAGCGAACTGGTAGCGGAAATTTTGAGTAGTTCGGAGAACCGGTAGCAGAAATTTTGAGTAGTTCAGCGAACCGGTAACGGAAATTTTGAGTAGTTCGGAGAACCGGCAAATACGACCTCTGGCTGGTCCCAGAGTGGGATAAGAATGGAGATTTTGCAGTATCCTTCCTCTGGAGTGGGGAGGGAATGGGGATTTTGCAATATCCTTCCTCTGGAGTGGGGAGGGAATGTGGATTTTGCAGTATTCTTCCCCTGCCACGCCCACCAAGCCACACCCACAGAACCGGTAGTAAAAAAAAATTGAATTTCACCACTGCTAACGTGCAACCTATTTGTTGGTTCTCTTGCAGAAGCCATCCCACCTTACTGGACCTACCCAGACAAAATGGAGAAGAAACTCCATGCAGTTCCTGCTGCCAAAACTGTGAAGTTTAAATGTCCTTCTAGTGGGACACCCACCCCTTCACTCCGTTGGCTGAAGAACGGCAAGGAATTCAGACCTGATCATCGCATTGGTGGATACAAGGTAAAATAATAAAGACCTGTTGTGTTTGGCTTGCTTTTAAAATACCGTATTTTTTGGAGTATAAGACGCACCTTTTACCCCCCAAAAAGAAGGTGAAAATCTGGGTGCTTTATACTCTGAATGTAGCCCTGTTGGGGCAACCCCTGAGATATTGGAAGACTGCTATCATGTCTCCCCTAGTCCTTCTTTTCATCAGACTAGACATACCCAGTTCCTGCAACCGTTCTTCGTATGTTTTAGCCTCCAGTCCCCTAATCATCTTGGTTGCTCTTCTCTGCGCTCTTTCTAGAGTCTCCACATCTTTTTGACATCGTGGCGATCAAAACTGGATGCAGTTTTCCAAGTGTGGCCTTACTTAACTTCATTTCACAAATGGAGCGGGGTGGGTTCTACTTAACTTTAGTACCAGTTCGCAACAAGATTGCAACAAGAAGCTTCTGCACATGCGCAGATAGCCGATGACGACATCCGGGGCGGTGGGCGGAGCCTCCTGCCGAATTTACTACCGGTTCTTGCGAACCGGTCTGAACCGGGGGCAACCCACCACTTCCCCAAGATCTCTTTCAAGCCAAGCAAAGACATTTAGCTGACATTGAGGAGTTATTATGGCCTTTGGCAACAGGTTTGCTACTTGTTTCGGATGTCTCATCCTTTTTGCCTCTCCGTTGCACAATTTATTTCCATCCGGAGTGACTAAAGCACCCTGCCTGGCCACTCCGTGCCTCCCACTGCAAATGCAGGCCAGGCTCCTGGGTTAATAATAAAACTCCTTTGAGCACCAGCCATGGTGACAGACAAATGGCATCCTGTTTTGTGTTTTCCTTTTTTCTTTTTTTCTTTTTTTTTAATCTTCATGGCTGATTGAAGAAGTTTCACCCATAGAATCAAGAGCAGCTTTGATGAATCCACAGCCGCCGGCGGTTGTGTTGTGTTTTTGTTTTGTTTTTCCTTCGTTCTGTGCTGGATTAGCTGAGCTCTTGGTCACTTGCACGAAGACACGGAACTTCTTTTGCGGGAAAAGTCGTGCTTGCCGCTTGGCGAAGAGAAAAAGCAGTTTGCTGAAAACTGTGCCCCGCATTAGGTTGAAAGTAAAAAAAAAAGGCTCAGATCTCAGGGCTCTAAAAGTTTATTATTGTGGTTGATCCTATAGAAATCGTTGTTTAAGAGATCATAGATATGGGAAATGGGGATAAAGAGAGGTGTTGCAACGTAGGTCATCCACTCCATTCTGGATCCTTTTCCCATCACTGGTGATATATCCCTCCCTCCCTTCCTCTCCTCCTTCCCTCCTTCCTTCCTTTCTTCCTTCTTCTTTCCTTCTTCCTTCCTTCCTTCTTTCCGTCCTCCCTCTTATCTCCTTCCTTCCTCCCTCCCCCCCTTTTATCTCTCCTCTCTCCCTCTTATCTCTCCTTCCTTCCTTCCTTCCTTCCTTCCTTCCTTCCTTCCTTCCTTCC